ATGATATTCTAGGCGCCCCCCCCCCCTCTCTCTCTGTCAACATTCAAGTAGGTGTCCTTGGTACAGCGTGGCTATAACTGTACACTGTCTCTGAGTTATACTGTACACTGTACAGCTCTGGTCTACAAATCACTTCAACATTTAATTGTCCTTTAACTATATCTGAAGGTAAATTATTGATCGTGAAAATAACTTATTATTCGATATCAAAACAAAATATTTATGAAAATAATATTTTTGTATATAACTATTAAGAAGAAATTTCGATATCGGAAATTTGTTTGCCAATATCGGAAACTGTTTCCGATATCAAAATGTGAATTTCCCCCATTGCTAAATGACTGAATGTTAATAAGAGCGTCAAGTGTTGGAGGGGAGAAGAAATGAGTGACGGTGGCCCCTCCTAGCACAGTGTCCGGTTGAGGGTTTTGTTTTCTCTGCTGCTGGACGTAGGAGTGGGTCTTGGGTGAAACAAATGCCTAGCGCTCTTTGTCCACAACACCGTGTCAAGGGTTCTGTTGTGTCTGGCCTGTGATCCGGTGACAAGGATGAGCAAAAGTAAAACAGATATTTCCCACTTAACGTTTGGATCTCTCGACCATCATTCACCTTTGTGCCGCAGCTCCAGATGGGGTTGTGCCTAAACGCCTCCTTTCATCTTTAGTTACGAGGGACATTTTATCGCTCGACTCTGACAACTCATCTTTGGGTTACGCTTAGGTGCCATCCCGACATCTTCACTTTCGAGGAATATTTAACGAGCGAATTTCTGAGAATTACGACTTAACACTTGTTTACGGCTCCAGCAGTGATCAGGAGAGAGAGAGAGAGAGAGAGAGAGAGAGAGAGAGAGAGAGAAGAGCTGAGAGGAAAAAATAATAAATAAACAAAATACACGAACGCGCATGCGTACGTGGGTGTCAACAAAGGCTGTAAGAGACTGCTCCTTAAAAGTCGTATTTCTGACGAATTCAGCGAGTCTACTAATCCCAGTCTGTGCAGAGAATGCTCCACAATGCTGACTCACGGCAATGTCCCAGGGGAAAAGCCTCCCCGAAGGCCGCGTCTACCACAGCGCCCCCCTCCCCCCCACTACTGGGCCGCCTCCCTCTGCGTCCCCTCTGTCTCCAGCAACACCTTCTTCAACAACACCTGCCCCTGCCTGGCCTCACCTGGCTGCAACACAGCAGTCCCGGCCGTCTCCTAACTCAACTACTACTGGGCCTCCTCCCCGTCTCTACTCTGATGCTGTCAGGCCTTGTGTTCCCACAGCTGCCCCCCTTCCCCCCACAACCCCCCTCCGGTGACACGACACAGATCATATCCCTCTTCCATGAATTTACCAACCGTGTTGAAAAACTCTTTGATACACTCTGTATCGCTATCTCCAACCTACACAGACTACCCCTGCCTCCTGCTGCTACCCAGTCACCCCCCTCTGGTCTGAATGCTGGTAGTCCCCCAGAGCCCCTGCTCCACACCACCGCCGACGGCCACTACTGGTGTAGCGCCTGAGCCTGCCCTGCTGCCCCCGAGCGAAGTCCTGCCTCTTCACTACACGCGGTGCCTCAACCTGTCCACCCACCGCAAGCCGCGCCCGCTCCTGTGTCTGAGCTGTCTCCAGCAGGCCTACCTATTGGACCTGAAGACACAACCCCTGGCTACCTGTACCCCACCAGCATGTCGACGTACACACCATCACAATCACATTAAAATTTGTGTCCCTCAATATTGTCAATGCCTATGTGCCCCCCTCCACCCCTACTGTACCTGTCCCACCACACCGTATCGCCTCCACCCCCACTGTACTTCGCCACGCCTAGTACATTGGCAACCTTGAGCCTGGCCGCACTGTTGTAAACTTTGTGGCCAACCGACTCTTTTTTTTTATTCTTTATTAGGCACTCCCCTACATCCTTGTGTAAGGTGAAGCGCAGAAGCGTTTACAGTGCCCAACAGGGAAGCATGCTAAGTTCATGCTTGCCTTTATGTCTCTTGAGTTAAGGACTGCTAATAACCCAACAAAAGAACGCCAGTGCGGGCAGAAGGCGAGCGAAAGATCGAATGTTAGTACAGGTGTGTGTGTGTGTGTGTGTGTGTGTGTGTGTGTGTGTGGCCTACCCCTCTCCCTCTCTCCCCTGCCTACCCCTCCCTCCCTCTCCTCCCTGCCTACCCCCCCTCTCCCCTCTCTGCCTACCCCCTCTCTCCTCCCCTGCCTCCACACCCTCCCTCCCTCTCTCTCCTCCCCTGCCTACCCCTCCCTCTCCCCCACCCCCTCCCTCTCTCCCCTGCCTACCCCTCTCCCTCTCCCTGCCTGCCCCCTCCCTCTCTCCCTGCCTACCTCCCCCTCTCCCTCTCCCTGCCTACCCTCCCTCCCTGTGCCTACCCCTCCCTCCTGCCTAATACCCTCCCTCTCTCTCCCCTGCCTACCCTCCCCTCTCTGTTTCACCCCTCCCTCTCTCCCCAAGGCCTACCCCTCCCCCTCTCTCCCCTGCCTACCCTCCTCCCCCTCTCTCCCCTGCCTACCCTCTCCCTCTCCTGCCTACCCTCCTCCCCCTCTGTCACCCCTCTCCCTCCTCTGCCTACCCTCCCTCTCTCCCCCAAGGCCTACCCCTCCCCTCTCTCCCCTGCCTACCCTTCTTCTCCCTGTTTACCTCCTCTCCTCGTTTAATACTTCCCTTCTCCCTGTTTACCTCCTCTCCCTGCCTACTCTCCTCTCTCTGCCTACCTCTACCCTCCTCCCAGCCCTCCCTCCTCCCCATCCTCCTGCCTCCTCCTCCTCCTCCCGCCCCCTTCTCCTGTTTACCCCCTGCCTACCCTCCCTCTCTCCCCTGCCTACCCTCCCCCTCTCTCCCCTGCCTACCCCCCTCCCCCAAGGCCTACCCCTCCTCCTCCCCCTCCCCTGCCTACCCCTCTCCCTCTCTCCCCTGCCTACCCCCTCCTCCCCCTCCCTGCCTACCCCCTCTCCTCTCTCTCTCTCTCCCTGCCTGCTACTCCCTCCCCCTCTCTCCCAAGCCTACCCTCTCCCTCTCTCCCTGCCTACTCCCTCCCCCTCCCAAGCCACCCTCCCTCTCTCCCCTTGCCTACCCCTCCCCTCTCCTGCTTCTACCCTCCTCCCTCTCTCCCTGCCACCCCCTCCTCTCCCCCCTACCCCTCCCTGCCCTACCCCCTCCCTCTCTCCCCCTGCCTACTCCCTCCCCCTCTCCCTCCCTGCCTACCCCTCCCCCCTCTCCCTGCTCACTCCCTCCCTCTCCTGCCTACCCTCCCCTCTCTCCCTGCCTGCCTAACACCCCCTCCCTTCTCTCCCCCTGACTCTCCCTCTCTCCCTGCCTACCTCCCCTCTCCCTGCCTACCCCTCCCTCTCCCCTGCCTAACACCCCTCTCTCCCTGCCTACCCCTCCCCTCTCTCCCCTGCCTACCCCTCCCCCTCAACCACACCAAACAGACGAGTGTAGGGAACATGAACTATCAAATTAGAGTAAATGGAACTAACCTAACCTAACCAATGAAAATCTAATCCTTATCCGATTGTCCACCAGTCATAAAAGCCTTGACCCCAACTAACCTAACCGCTAACCTAACCTAAGCTAACCTGACCCTAAGCCCCAACCTAACCTAAGCTGACACCTTTCCCTTAACTTTGCCGTTATTTTTTTATAATTACTCCTAATTTGACAATTATATCATTTTTTCCTAATGTCACTTTCCATAGTACCCCTGACAGACAGACAGACAGACAGACAGACAGAAATAAGACAGGAGGTGTGGCAATGTCTTCTCCTCGTGACCACACTCTGGAGGAGGAGGGTCGTATCGTGACTCGCCTCTGCATTACGATAATTGAATATATATGTTTTCTCTAGGGACACTGTGGTCTACCTCAAGATTAACTCTTCCTTCTTCATTATCATACATAATAGTTTGCCCTGCACACACACACACACACACTCACACACACACACACACACGCACACACACACACACACACACACACACACACACACACACACACACACACACACACACACACACACACACACACACACACACAACGTACTTACAACCATAGGTAAATTCTCAAATCACTATATATAATTTTTTTCTCAATTTGCCTCTAAATCATAAATATTACGAACATATGAACGCTGAATCGTCTTGTTCCCAGAAGTAACTGATGCTTTGAAACACTGTAAATAAAATCATCTAACTGCTGAGTGGTGAGGTTAGGTTAGGTTAGGTTAGGTATAAATAACACCTAACTGCTGAGTGGTGAGGCGAGGTTCACGTAAATCCCACTTAACTTTGACTAAATACAGGATGAGTGCCTGACTATGTAATGACTGAATTGGCTATTGAGTGAAATGAACATGTAATTGATTTAACAGGAGAGGGGAAGGATGAATATTAGATGGCCCTCAACATTAATTAGTTAAGTTACGGTTCTTATGTTAGATTCTGAAAATATCGTAGGAAAAATATTTCCCTTAAGCTTTGAGAATGCTGCTGACTAACTTATATAAGAGGTGGATATACAAAGATTCACAATATTACCTTAGATTTTATCGTAAATATAATGTGACGATATATTACCCTAAATTCTATCGTAAATACAACCAGGACATAACATTACTATAAATTCTATCGTATTACTGTGTGTGCGTGATGTGTGTGTGTGTGTGTGTGTGTGTGTGTGTGTGTGTGTGTGTGTGTGTGTGTGTGTGTGTGTGTGTGTGTGTGTGTGTTCTGTGTGTGTGTGTGTGTGTGTGTGTGTGTGTTCTGTGTGTGTGTGTGTGTGTGTGTGTGTGTGTGTGTTCTGTGTGTGTGTGTGTGTAAAGAAGCTCATCATTACACGCTTCCTCTCCACATGTACACTACAATCACCAGTACAGTACAACACATGATCATCCTCCCACATGCGCGCTGGGTCGAGGCTGCCGTCACTGATAATACCTGTGTTATCAGATATGGTGATAAGAGAGAATGTTTATGTGAAGGTAATCGGTGGTGGTAGTCTGTGCTCTGAGACCGTAAGAGGCAGTGATGTTCTCCTGTCTCTCATTCTTCTCTGAGTGCTGCAAAGGCTCTAAAGACATGTGTGGTGAAAGTCAGAGAGAGCTAGTGATGAACCGGTGACGCTGTTGTGGTGATGAAAGTAGTGGTGATGAAAGTAGTGGTGACGTCAGGCTGGAAACTTATGTCCTCACTACTAAGAATCATCGTGGCTGCATGGTGGAACAGTTCCTCAAGTGGTGGTTGTGAAAGTGACATTTCGTTGACTGTATTGGAAGGACGAATCATTATTCACAGAGGCGAGTACTACCAGACGTGACGTTTTTAATTAGGACAGGAAACACTGACGCCATATCACGGTGTGTAGATTCATGTACACTGATAACTAGCTGCAATGTCATGTTAGTGGTGTAAGTGTAGTTCAAAACGACACTACCAAATCGACGGACTTACCACACCTGACACAATTTAATTAACCAGTGTAGCGTTGGATAATTCACTAACCCTTCAAGGTGACCATTAACCACTTAAGACACAGTCAAACTATCGAAAAAGAAAACAAATGAGTGTTAGTCGTTAAGAGCAGTGAAACAATATTGATCGAAAAAAGAAAAAACAAAATCATCAGATCACTCAAGAATACATAAGAACACTGGAAATTCATCACAATATTTGTCGAAGCATCAGAATCTCTTATAGGTTTAATGCAGAAGGAAAAAGAAACTGTTCACTATATTCTTCCTCATCGTACTCACTTATCTCAGACTAGAGCGTTTGGGTAACTTGTATAACCAGCCGAGACAACAGGTGACGCTATCAGAAAAAAAAATCAAGAAAAAGTGTAGTAACCTGAAGAAAAAATAACAATTCAATAAAAAAAAAGAAAAAAACGTATTTTAAGGAAGAAAAGAATATTCTTATCTATTCTATACGACGACGATAAGATAAATAATGCGCAAGTTTAATAAATGTAAAACTATTATCAGGGGTGAAAATATTATCAAGGCTTTAATGGAATTCCTTTAGGCATTGGTATATAAGGAATTATATAGCTAGAAAATAAGAAGGAAAAAATAACAGGTGAAATTATTTCCTTCACGTGAGACAAAACAAAAGATATCAAGACCGAACTAGTGAAAAAAATATTCTAGAAATTATTACACGAAAACCATAGGTGATTATAATTATTCACAAATTATCAAGAACGAACTCGTAAAAGAAAATTCCGTAATCATTCACAAATTATTAAACCCAAACTGGTAAAAAAAAAAAAAATAAACACTAAAAGCAAAGCAAATTTGATTCCGTAATTTTTTCACTTATTTTTTTAGTGTGTGCCATGAAAGAGCTTCATAAACAGTGTAGAAATGATTAAAGAGCCTGTAAAGAGGATTACCTGGAGTAAGAGGTGTTAAAGAGTGTGTTGGATGACCACTGAGCCCTATTGTTACCTCAGACTAACCTGAAATTACGGAAAAAAAAAATAATCTGTAAGGTTTTGAGGTCGTTTGTGCGCGCGCGCGCGCGTGTGTGTGTGTGTGTGTGTGTGTGAGGCTGAAATTAATTAAGCAGAACTGCTATCCTGTGAAAAGGTCAATAAGATTTGCTGTTAATTAAAAATACCTTCGGAATTATTTATACACCTTGAGAACGAATCAGTCAAAACAAAATATTGACACACGTATTAAGGATTACGGCACCAGTTCCTCGCCTCGCTCACCTGTGACATGAAGACAGAACGAATGAGTCTTGTGTCTCTCGGATATGATGTGACGTCCAGGAGCCACGAGACCTGAAGAAGGAAGAGCAACATGAGACTCACTCGACGCAGAAAGGTGTTGATGCTGTTGATGGGCTGGATGATAGTCACCTTCAGTACCTGGCTCCTTCATTACGGCACCAACGTCCATGACCTGGTCAGTGACTCACAGGTGTGTACGGAGGGGGGATGGAGGAGGAAGGGATGGGGAAAGATTGGAAGGGGAGGAAATAACAGGGAAAGGGGGGAGAAGGAAGTAACAGGTAGGGAAAGGAATTAACGGGGAGGGGAAAGGGAGGAAGGAACAGGTAGTGGGGATATATGAAGAAGAGGAAGGAACAGGTAGTGGGGATATATGAAGAGGAGGAAGGAACAGGTAGTGGTGATATATGAAGAGGAGGAAGGAACAGGTAGTGGGGATATATGAAGAGGAGGAAGGAACAGGTAGTGGGGATATATGAAGAGGAGGAAGGAACAGGTAGTGGGGTAGGAGGATGGGTTGACACACACTACAGTTGGTATAACAGAACAGAGAGAGAGAGAGAGAGACAGACCCATGCAACAAGACAAGAGCGTTAACACTTCCGTACCATCTCTCTCTCTACCACACAGTACCACCCTCTCTCTCTCTCTCTCTCTCTACCACACAGTACCACCCCTCTCTCTCTCTCTCTCTCTACCACACAGTACCACCCCTCTCTCTTTCTCTCTCTACCACACAGCACAATCCTTCTTTCTACCACTCCTCAGGCTTTATTCTTGCAGCAGGAGCCTTCGTCAGGATGGCTGTGGTCGGAGGCTCAGGTGATACTGGAGGTGGGGGAGCCTGCGAGGGAGGGCATCCTACTACTGGAGGGGTACGGCTACCCGCGCCTCACTTTCAGGATGTGGTGCGCCGTCGAGTCTGCCGCCCGCGCCCACCCACACCTTCCTGTCTCCCTTCTGATGACCTCCCCCGTAGGTGTACAGTCTCTTGTGTATGTATGTATGTGTGTGTGTGTGTGTGTGGTGGGGGGGTGCACTAAAACAAAACATAATAAACGTGTACACAACTCTCAGTATAACACACCTAGCGGCCATTACAGGTAGTCTAATTACACCTTCCTCACCCCTCAGGTCATTAAGGACTCCTCACTCCTCCATAACTTGACGGGACACTTGAAGAACATCCACCTCCTCCACCTCAACACCACCCACCTGTTCCAAGGCTCTCCCCTTCACACCTGGTACCAGCAAAGGAAATGGAGAGAGAGTTTCTGGCCTCTATCTCACTTCAACGACGCGGTCCGGTAAGTAGATAGATAGATAGATAGATAGATAGATAGATAGATAGATAGATATTAAGTACAATTATCATGGGGCTCAGTGCCTCAGCTTGGTGTGTAAACGTCTCTCTCTCTCTCTCTCTCTCTCTCTCTCTCTCTCTCTCTCTCTCTCTCTCCAACACGCCCTCATAGTACCAGATAACGTCACACTGATATACATAAACAATAGCCAAATCCTAATAGGCCTCAATCCCAACGAATAGGTATAGCGGATTTGGATCACCTGAAGATTAGACACCCCAGTTTATTTCACCTGAAGATTAACCACCCAAACGCTAACCCAACATAACATAAACCCGCCAGGTAGCGTTAGTGGGGAGTAGGTTAGGTCAGGGTGGTTACTCTTCAGGTGAAATAAGTTAGGGGTATCTAAGCTTCGGGTGATCCATAGATTAGGGGGTAATAACACAGGAGACCTAATGATCTACAGCACACTAACACCTCCCTCCCTCCCTCACCCTGGCGTGGGGCCACAACAGTTGGCTGCTACTCTGGAAGTACGGAGGCGTGTACCTAGACCTCGACGTGATGGTGTTGCGTCCTCTCACACGCCTCCCCAACTGCACGGCGCTGGAGTCCAGGAAGTATGTGGCCGCGGGCGTGCTCAAATTCACCCCCAACCACCCACTGATGCGGGCGTGCTTGGACTACTTCGCCCAGAATTTCGACGGGACGGTGTGGGGTGGGAACGGGCCAGAGCTGCTGACACAGGTGTTGATAGACAGGTGAGAGACAGATGGTGTTTGAGTTTTGTTATGTTTTGTGTGTCTTAAAATAATAAAATATATACACACTGCCTTACAGATTTTAGAGGCGATGGTGTGAATGTTTGTTCTCGCTTGTTGATGTGTGAGGTCTTTTACGGTCGTCTCTAAGTCAATATGTATACAATATATACTGTTCATTTAAGACACCCTGTGTATATAAAGTACAGTGTCTATTTCTTTGTCTGTGTGGGTGTATGTGTTTCTTTACCTAAGTACAGCAAAAATTTTGACGGCACAGAGCTGAAGTTGGCGTAAAATGGGTGTGCATCGCAGGAGTGTCAGGAAGGTGGTATTTTGAGCGGATGGCCCCTGTGATCGGCACCCCACTCGTTAAGGAGGATGAATTGTCGGGAAGTCATTGTAGTGAATGTAGTTTAGGCAGTGAAATAAATGTAGTGGAGATGATAGTGTAGAAGATTTAGTGTAGCTGCTAGTGTAGTAGACTTAGTGTAGTCAGGAACATAGGCTATGAGCTGTCCTTTAATAAACAACCTGAACAACGCCGGGTACCTCAGTTAGTCATCATCATCATCATCATCATCATCATCATCATCATTATTATTATTATTACAGTATTAAATTTCAGTATATATCAGAACTATTAATAAAATCGAGGTCACATAATGGTCCAGATTCACGAAGGACCTAACGATCACTATTGCTCGTAAGAGGACAGGTAAGAATATACCTTACTTGATGCCTTAATTAAACTAAAGCACAAAAAATAACAAAAAACAGCTTTAACTTTACATCGAGACACTAATTTGACAAGTTACGTTCATTCACCATCATTTGGGAGATCAAACTAATGGCAGGAACCTTTAATTAAATGTTAAGTGAAAGTATCTAGTCAAGGCGCTCAGTCTCAGTGATGTTTTAATGCCATTTGGAAACATTTAGTACCTTGGGTTAGATAATTCATTTAGATGTATAGTAGGGGTCAATGGTTCACTCCCTCACAACATGAAGCAGTATCGACCCCCAATGAGACACAAGAACACTCCACCATCAGATGACAGAAATTCTCTGATCGCTGGCCGTACTGGTCGGACGTGTCAGCCTTGTACTCTGCGAGAACACTGTTGATTTTCACTGGCTGCCTAAGGTTTGCACCATGCCTGGGGCAAGTGGTGGGCAGAAACCTGTGAAGGCTGAAGAAGAAAGGATTGCACTACTGAACAGCATAGAAGACGACCTGCGGCTTTCAAGTAGCGAATCGGAAACAGATGACCTGCGGCCAACAACAATGGAGGTGACAGACAGTTATCAAGAGGTGATTAGTAAAAAGGAAAAGAAGAGGAGGCGAGAGTTGGCGTAGAAAAATGAAGGAAGTGATAGTGAATTAAATTTTGTCCACCACTGTACATTCACATCTTCAGTAACCAAACCTAACCTAACCTAAACTTAACTAACCTAACCTAACCTAACCTGTGTGATAACGGACTTCGCACCATGAGAAAGTCTTACGATATATCAAAATCCGTCTTTGTCTGTCTCTGTCTGTCTGTCTCTCTGTCTGTCTGTCTCTCTGTCTTCTCTGGCTACAGTAACGTCATCATCCCTCTCCATCACTGGGCACACTCTGGCAACCTCTATAATAAATACACAATGTTTACTGAGGGTGGAGGGACAGTTTTCATAAAGGTGCTGCTTCAGGTAACACTAACACCGTAAGAAACAGTAATATACATATCTCTCGCCGCTGGCCAACACCTGGTAACGTTAAATGGATCCTAAACTTAAAAAAACTAATATACAAAATAATAATATCGTTCTGTTAGTGATATTATCTTTTGCTTTTCATTCCTTCGACATCACTACCCAGGAACCTAAAGATGCCCGCCAAAAATAAAAGTAAAGAAAAAGTAAACAAAAGAGCAAAAATCAGATAAACAAAAGCACTATCGTAACCTAATCCTCTTATTATCGCCGCTTCTTATCTACTTATAAAGAAACACGTGATAAAAGTCCCATATAAACAGAGCATAAAGAGAGAGAACAGAACAAGACAAAACAAAACTTGAAAACGTGGTACAACAGAGACAAGATCGTGGAGTGATGTGATCGCTTCCTCTCCTCTCACTGGACGGTCATCCCTGATGCTGTTCTGTGTAAGCTGCCACTATTGATGTGTATGTAGCCTGTGTCCGGTAGTGTATTGTTGTGTGTGTCTCTCCTGTGTACGTATGTATTAATGAACAATGGCGTGGTGGTACTCACAATCGCCTCGTACATAAGACGGCCTGAGTTCGATTCTTCTGGTATATAATTTCTGTGATCTCATTTAGCACATTGTGGTTCAGTGGATAAGCTTCCTGCCTGTCATTCGTGGTGATCTGGATTCGATACCCGGCACTTAAAGGTGATTATTGGGCTCACACGCTCTTTAGTCCGACAGCTTCACCAAACTCACCCTTTCTTGACCACAAGTGTCAACCCCCCAAGACTACTGCCAAGCTATGTATGTACAGTATGTATGTACAGTATGTATGTATGTATGTACAGTATGTATATATGTATGGCTACCTGTGGTGTAATGGTCAGCGTCCTCGCCTCGCAAGTGAGCGTACCCGAGTTCAATCCCCGGACAGGGTGAAACTATGGGCAAGTTTCTTTACGCCATTTGCCTCTGTCTACCCAGCAGTAATTAGGAACCTGAATGTTAATCGATTTGCGGATCGTATTCCGGGGTAATGGTTAGCCAGTGGAGTTGTCCAGTCTTCTCGGACTGTTCCTTGACACTGGGTCATACAGCTCGTTAACTTGGGGTGTGGTTGTTGTGTTGGCGACAGCTTCTACACCTTAAACAAATTCACGCCTAGTTGGCCCTTGGGCAGGCCATCCTCGATTTCGAGGGGCAACCATTATTATTATGTGTGAATGTATGAATCTCTTTCCCCTCCCTCTCACTTCATCTCAATGTATGTGTTAATAAATGAATCTCTCTCTCTCTCTCTCTCTCTCTCTTCTTTGTATTGATCGAGACAGACAGACAGAGACACAGACAGAGGCCAGCAGGGAAGGGACAGTCACACCTCTTAACTATACTGTCACAAGTTCACCAATCAAAGCTACATTACTACCAAACACACACCTGTCACAACCAACTTCCTCTCTCTCTCTCTCTCTCTCTCTCTCTCGCTCTCTCTCTACGGTAATCCCTCCCGTTTGACTATTAAATTATACCAACCCATTAGCGAAGACCTACACCGTCAGTGACAATTACCTCCCCCTTCCTCTCCTCCTCCAGGCGTTGAGATACAAGTCATTATCCCTTTGAGACTGTACACACACACACACACACACACACACACACACACACACTCACACTACAGGACAGGGGTAAATAGTTGAAAGGTTAAAAAAAGAATTGCTATAAAACTCGTGGGAGGACCATCAGTGTCGGTCCTATATACACAGTTCATTAAACACTGAATGGAAATCGGAAGCTGGACATTAGCATAATGAGAACTGTTTTAAAAGTCTGTTGTAATTAGTCGTTTTTACCTGTCGTACGTGGACCATTTTCCTGCCGATGGTTATTATTACCTGTACTACTGAGGTGCTATTATTATTAGTAGTAGTAGTAGTATTTTCATTATTATTATTATTATTTTTTTTATTATTATTATTATTATTATTATTATTACTATTATTATTACCATTATTATTAGTAGTAGAAGTATTTTTTTTATTATTATTATTATCGGCGGAACTACCTGATGCCCACTATCCCTGATATCGGACCCCTCCTCCACCCTCTGGAAGAAGCTATCAGCGTCAATTTCATTCCCAAATTAGTGAAACACCCTTACTTAACCCCAGCAGAAAGATCACTCCTTGCACTACCACAGAGACTGGGAGGAATGGGACTGACCAATCCAGAGGAGATTGCTGCCACCGAACATCACAGTTAAGCTCACGGCAGCCCTCACGGACCACATAATAGCTCAGAACGCGACAGGGGAGGTGGATACCAGTGAAGTAAACAAGATTCGAAGGTCTATTACGACAGAATGATAGCACGGCCAAAGTGGTAGGCTGCAGCAACTGTTGCTGCAAGTAGCAGAGAATTTGAAAAAAAGTAGCTATAGCCCAGGAGGTGGGCGCCTCGAACTGGTTAACTATGTTACCGATAAGGGCAAGTGGTTTCAGTCTCAATAAACAAGAATTTACAGATGCCATTGCTCTAAGGTATGGTAGGCCAGTAGAAGGTTTGCCCTCCCAATGCGTATGTGGCTCTTCCTATGACGTCGATCACGCCATGGTGTGCAAGAAAGGGGGCTTCATATGCATGAGGCATGACGAAGTAAGGGATTTCACAGCAAATTTGTTGAAGGAAATCTGCCGTGATGTCAGGGTAGAACCGACCCTTCTTCCATTGGACGATGAGATTTTCCAACATAGAACTTCAAACACATCCAACGAAGCCCGTGTTGACGTCAGTGCTCGAGGATTCTGGACGCGGGGACAGCGAGCCTTCTTCGACATCAGGATTTTTGATCCCATGGCCGCATGTCACCGTAAGTTAGCTCTCGATGCGGCACATAGGAGGAACGAGAACGACAAGAGAAGGGCATACGGGGAGAGAATTCAAAATGTTGATCAAGGCAGCTTCACTCCTCTGGTGTTCACAACCTCTGGTGGGATGGGACCAAGTGCAAGATGTTTCTACGCCAGACTCGCGGAGTTGATCTCCGAACAGAAGCAGCAGCCCAGAAGTTATGTTACAGCGTGGATGAGATGTCGACTGTCCTTCTCTCTCCTTCGGTCGGCTTTGCTCTGCCTCAGGGGAACGAGAGTTTCTGCCCCAATGCCGACAACTGCTGCAGATATTGACTATGAGGCTACAGTCACTGAATGCCGCATAGATCTGCGGCTCAACTAACTCAACACAGCTAGGATAGCTACTTATGTATTAGGATATTTAATATTAAGGTAATAAAATGGTGGCGAAG